ACATAGGATCAAGAAAATAGAATGGAGAGTTGAATGGACAATTCTGGATCCAGAGAGAGAAAATACATGAAAGCACAGTGCGTCAGACATCAAAGAAGTGCAAAACGCCACGTGGTGGCACATGCCTGTGATCCCAGCACTGGGAGACAGAGGTTTACGTGGTGAGTTTAATGTCAGCCCCAACTGCACAGAGGCATCCTGTATCAATAAAAAGAAAAAAAAAGAAACGCAAAATAAGCTGTAGTGAGAGTACACTAAAGAAAACAAAAATGGGATGAAAAGTGCCGAGTTTTGGAGAGATTATGGAACAGCGGAACTCTTCCATCATCCTCGTGTGAATGTAAATTTCTACAAGCATATTGGTGGCCAACACTGCCGGTTTCTTTCCAAGGAGACACCACCTACTGTACGATTTTTCAGCTGCATTCTGACGTATGTACCCAGGAAGAAGGAGAGCAGGAGTCTGCACAGATGTTTGTACCTGGATATCTACAGGAACATGGGTAACTTAAACTGGAAACAATCTATATATTCAATGCCAAGTTAGGCTGCGTGGACCATAATCAAGATAAAGTTTAGCAATAATTTTTTAAAGAGGAGCAAGCTCTTGGTCTATGCTACTACATGAATTATGATCAATTATGCTAAGTGGAAGTAAAGAGTGGTGGGCAACTGAGGGCACATGTGCCTCAGACAGGTGTTGTGGAAAGTTCTACAAGGTTCGGCATCACTGTCCTAGAAGAAGAGCCTGTACTGTGTATTTCACATGGCATTAGTTGTAGGAAACACAACCCAGTGCACTTTGACATTACAACATGTACGGGGAAGCAGGAGGAGGGAATTCCACCTGCATGAGAAACTTAGGGAGTGAAGGCTGTCCTTGTTATGCTAGAATATGCTTTTGTCTGAAAAGTTTTTTCACGTCAAAAGAAACTACCAACAAAGTGAAAAGGCAACCCACAAGTTTGGAAAACATCATGACAAATAAGTACTCAGACAAGGGTCTGCTCTCTAGAATCTATAAAGAACTAAAAAACACCATGGCCCCAAAATTTAAAGACCCAATCCAGAAATGGGCATCCGAGATGAACACAC